AGTTAAGGGTGCCAATAATTTTGGCCAGTGCATTTTTGGGTTTCTGTGTGGGATTGCATGGGATTTCACTTTTATTCTCTGTTTTTTGTGTTGTTCCAACACAAACCAAAGAAATGAACATGTGAGTACCAAAACATTTGCAACTGCAACAATTTTGAGAGAATGGTTGCATTTTCTGACAGAATTGCAAGGGTGCCAATATTTTTGGCCATGACTGTAAATGGGACTGAGGCAGCAACAATTTCATCTCTTTATTCTGCTAAAAAAAAAAATCTCTCAGCTAACCATGGCCTCTGCAAGGGAGGGTGTGTCTCATCTCAAAATGGTGAGCTTCAGCACAGTCCCTATTTTTGTCATGAGCTGTTGGTAGCTGATGACTCCTTTTAGTAGCAATTTTTTAATGGATCATTTCTCTGAAGTATAACATAATGTGCTTTTTTTCATGCTGGCTGTAAATGTATCTTTAAAAAATTGACCTTAAAAAACATCCAGCACCACCACATAATAGATCAATAAAACTCAAAAAAGAGTACAGTGGTGCCTCGCTTAGCGATGTTAATTCGTTCCAAAAAAATCGCTGCTAAGTGATTTCATAGTTAAGCGAAATGCGGTTCTCCAATTGAAATGCATTGAAAACCGGATAATCTGTTCCAATAGGAATGAATTGCCGTCCTTAAGTGAAAATCGCCATAAGAAACATCGCTAAGCGAAACGCAGTTCCCCAATTGAAATGCATTGAAACTTATTCAATGCATCTCAAGGGGGGGGGGGAATACAACAACAAATTAAAAAAGAGTCAGAACAAAGTCAAATTTGGGTAAAAAAGGATTTATTAAGTGCACTTTATGATTTCAAATATTTTAAACAGTAAACTTTAACTTTATAAATAATAGAAAAACATTTAAAAAACAGCAAACATGAGGCTGTTTAAACAATTGTTAAGCGAAACAGGGGACCCAAAATTTAATCGCTATGCGAAGCATGGTCCCAACCATCGCTAAGCGAAAATCACCCATAGGGACCATCGCTAAACGAAGCGCAAAAACGCTACAAAAGTCATCGCTAAGCAATTTCATCACTAAACGGAGCGCCCGTTAAGCGAGGCACCACTGTACCAGTAAATGTGCTACTCATTGGGATTCTTGATGTACAACATTACTGTAATAGCTCAATATTCATTTGCAGGGTGGTGGATGTACCAGACATTTTAGAAGGCATCACTGAGTCACCTCCAAATGTAATAATTTGCTACTTTCTCCCATAAAATGAATTGGTGAACAAGGCAAAAGGTTCATCAATATCTTGTTCAATATCATGTTGAGTAATTTCACCGCACAATGGAAGTGCCGTCACCAGCAGTGACAGATTACAGCTGATTAAAGAGGTCCTGCTTCAGCAAGTAACCTGGGTACAATAAGATGAAGTTGTGAAAACTCAGCTCAAAACAGAAATTATTTAATTAGCAGCTATCTGTGGTTGCTGGTAACTTCACTCCTCTTGTGCCAGTGGAGCTATACAACATAATTTTGTTCATTATATTTTAAACTGCCTTTGCCTTCCTCTCTTGTCAGGACTGATAATAGCAAAGTATGGCCATGAGTGGAAAGAACTGAAGAGGTTTACTGTCTCTACACTGAGGAACTTTGGAATGGGAAAGAAGTCTCTGGAGCAGGTCTTGATCAAGGAAGCTGAACAACTGTGCTGTACATTTAGCTCTATGGAAGGTTTGTCTATTTTAGGAACAATCAGTCAGAGGTTACATTTACATTAAATTGATGAATTACAAAGATCTATATATCCATTCTACCTACAAATGAACCTTCATTATCCTCCTCCTCTTAACATGTTTTTTTTTGGAATATTTGCATCTTCCTAAGATCAAACTGCCAACCTAGTAGTTCGAAAGCATGTAAAAATGTGAGTAGATAAATAGGTATCACCTCGGTGGGAAAGTAACGGCATTCTGTGTTTAGTCATGCTGGACACGTGAACAAGGAAAATGTCTACAGACAAACACTGGTTCTACGGCTTAGAGATGGGGATGAGCACCGCGCGCTAGAGTCGGACACGACTGGACTAAAAGTCAAGGGGAACCTTTACCTTTGCCTATATGATATTCAAGACTCCCCCACCCCAATATTTTTTAAAAACTTGAGTTACAATGAGTTCATATACAGTGGGGTCTTGACTTGAGAACTTAATCCGTATTGGAAGGCGGTTCTCAAGTCAAAAAGTTCTCAAGTCAAATCTGCAGTTCCCATAGGAATGCACTGAAAACCATTTGATCCGTATCTGCTCTTTTCTGTCCATAGAAACTAATGGGAAGCTGCTATTCCGCCTTCGACCACTAGAGGGGGCTATTTTGTTTCTTTTTTTCTTAGGTCAAGAGAGGTTCAGGGAATGCAGGGAAAATACAGCCCAGGCAGTACCAGGCAGTCTGAAGACTCCCAATCCATTCTCTAAACGCTGGGAGGAATGAGGAAGCAGACAGGCACCCTTTTCACTGGCCAACAGTTAACTGAAAGTTCAAATTTTGCACTTTCCCTGCCTCCCACGTGGGTTTTTTTCAGTTCTTAACTCAAATCTAAGTACTTAAGTCAAGTCAATATTTTCCTATGAGAGCGGTTCTTAAGTCAAAATGTTCTTAACTCAAGTCGTTCTTAAGTCAAGACCCCACTGTAGTACAGAAATTATATTTTCCTTTCTTCCCTCATAAATCCTTTAACTTGCCTGCCATTCCATCTTCCTACAGCCACTTTTGCAGCAGCAAGCCTCAGAGGGCATCCACACTGGCATACAGATGTTATATGGATTGCTAATGGTATGGTTTCGATTGAAAAAAAGATAACATCTGCATGTGTTTCTACTTAGATCGAGCCATCCTTCCCTTTTAGAAGCTGTTGCACACTTTTTTGGACCAGTGGTAGGGCATGCATTCTTTTTGGCATGCTCATTGTTTAGCCTGTTTAGCCAGGAGATAGCAGCCTGCAGCAGTCTCAGCTTCCAACTGCTATCATGGCTGCAGATTCTGAGAGAATGTGTGAGAGAAAGAGGGCAGGAGAATGAGGGAAGGGAAACAAGGAGGAGGAAATGGAGAAAATGGAACTGCATCAACAGAGGTTGAGAGGAGTGATGTAATAATTTCACTTCCTCTGACCCTCCACAGAAAATCAGAAGTCATGCTTAATTGACACCTGATTGGGCTACAAGGAATCATTTGCTGTTGGAATGGGAGAAGCATGCCAAATGGCACATTGCTCCTCTCCCCTCTGTAGTCTGATCGACCACACATTCAAAACAACCAATCCAGACAGACCCTCACACTATCGAGGCTCAAAAGACATGCATATTCACAGATGCAACGTTGCTGAGTATCAATAGTTGTAAAACAGCTTTCCAGAAAAGTTACTTGAGTGGAACAGGAAAACATAAATTATTCTCCCTTACTTTTAGATGCCAGTGGGAAATGAATCAGCTTCAAATTCTAAATCCCTGGGGCAGGCGTGGGCGATTAATTTCTACAGGGAGCCACATGAAAAATCTGAACTGTGTTTGGGGGCCGAACCAACTTTACTTAAAAATAAAATGAAACAGTGATGTTATGATTGTTTGTATTTTAAATTTGTTAATCTTCACAAATATTAAAGAGGTTTTTTGCAGTATGTTAAAGATAAGCAACTGATCAACTTTAGACAGAAAGCTATAAATGGTTTTGATGTCCAGTGGGCCAGACAGGAGCAGCTCGCAGGCCGTATGTGGCCCTCAGGCTGCACTCGGCCCAGGTCTGCCCTGGGGACAAAGTGGCACAAAAAATTAATCAAGATTTTGGGAGAGAGAGAAAGTTGCTGGAATTCAGGAAACAAATCAATGCAAAGTGCAATAAGAAGAACACAATTCAGACACTGGGATAAATTCTGGTAAGACTATTATACAGCCTAGCCATTCAGGCAGGAGAGATGCTGCATTTGGAAGAGGTTTATGATGGTTATAGGATATAAGTACTGTAGTTGGTTACAGGGAATAAGGAACTGTACTGTGTCATTGCAATGGAGGAGGAAGGGGACAATACCCTAAACCTGCTGACAATATCTACTGTTGACTGAAAAATAATGTCTTGACTTCATTTAGAAGGGTTGGGTGTTTTGACATCTGGTTCTCTGCTGGTGGGCAGGTATTTGGTCTCTACCATCTCATGGAGTCTTCCAGTCCTGCAGTTATGCGTCAAAATCTTCCTGGAAAGAGTGTGGCAATTACAAAATTCAGCCATGAAAACTCAGCTGTGCCTCACTGGTAATAGTAGTATTGTACAGAGTTTCTTGTGACAATCGAGCCATACGATATAGTAAAAGATTGTGGTTATTGAGAAGTTATTCATGATCTTCATGAACAGCAAAGGCAGCAGCCGAGAATCTATCAAGGCATGAAAAACGTACTTCCTAACTGATCCTTTATATATCCAACTTCTATAGTATACAGTATGTGAAATGGGTGGCGGAGGGGCGACACATTAGTCTTCTTTACCTCAGGCAGCAACGTATCTGACTTAGGTCAGTCGTGCCAGAACTACGAGACTTGCCGAAGAACTTTCCTGAGCAACTTTGCCGAAACCTACTTATCATCCTCAATTTAAAAATCCATAGTGTAATATCTCTGTTAGGCTAATGCAGCATTACTTTAAACAAGCGTGCGTGAAAAAAACAGAAGTGGCGGGCGTTGTCAATGGGCAAAAAACTATAAGCAGCAAATCTCGCGCAGACGTTAGTGGTGTCTGTTAATTAGCTTGGTGGCTAATTAACCCCACAAATATATTTCCCATCTTAGCGTACGTCGTTTCCCTTGCCGGCACCAGAGACAACTAAAAGACTACAGTATTATTAAACGTCAGGCAATACCTAATCACAAACAAGATTTAGTAGAGTGGCATATTTTGGACCAATGGGATTAAGCCAGTATAAGAAGAACCCGCCTACTCCCTACCGAAAGCAACCGGGTCGGTGTGCGAAAGGATCGGCAACATGGCGGCGGCCGTGGGTGGGAGAGTGGCGGCTGGAGGCACTGCCGCCGTGGTCAAGCCAATCTTTAGTCGGGACCTGAACGAGGCAAAACGGCGGGTGCGAGAACTGTATAGGGCCTGGTACCGGGAGATCCCCAACACTGGTGAGGCAACGTCATTAGGCGGCGCGA